TTTTTTTCAGAGAAGGAAACACCTGAAAGCAAGGTTATTATTAATTTGAGGGGAAAATTCAGACTAGTTTGCCTGAATATATCAAATCTAGTAATTTGAACATAAGCAGGTTTGTAAGATCAAAACGGATGAAGTATAAATTATGTAAGAGTGGTATTTGTTAGCCAAAGAAGTAACACAATTGTAAGCTTTTTGTGATATCCCAGACTTAAAACAATTTGTGAAAACAAAGCAACAGTTAAAATGTACAGAGAAGCACATTGTCCTTGACTTTTTTTTTTTTTTTTTTCTGTCTTTTGTTCAAGCTAAGGGAATCTCAGAAAATCTGAGGAAATTAAGACTGAACTAAGTCACAGATATACACATAACAAATTTTCAGAAGATGAATGCATTTGGATATATAGGATTAAAATTTTAGTTTAGAAGATAGGGTAAAGCTTAATTGGTGGTTTTAGAAAAAACAATTATATCAACCTAAAAGTTACACAGTTACTAACACATCAAAAATAATAGCTTGGTTAGAATATTTTATAAACCATGGACTCATATAGAAATCTATCAAAAGAAATAGTATTGTTGGGGAACTTTAAAACTTGACTTATCAATTCTAGGATGATGTTATTAAACTTTGCTGTTAGAAATAAAACCATCATAAACATTTCTCTTTGCCTTACAGTAATAGAACTTTGGAAAAACTGTTCTGGTTTTATAATTATATTTCCTCTATACATAGAGTGTTTCCTCACTATATAACAGTACTAGAAGATCTCTGTCATTTTCCACTTCATAAATATACATTTGCTAGGACCACTCAATGCAATCAAAGGCATTTACTTAACTCTGCACAGATGATTGGAGGAAATAAAAGGAAAAGGATCAGTATTTTCTAAATAAGAACATTTATATAATATTTCACATAAATCTGATGAAAGATTTAATGCTAAAAAAGATTTATTATAATAAAATCTAAATGTTTCAAAAATGTGATGATGTAATTTACTTAATGAAAATACTATAAACTTCAAAAGCTAAAATTCATCAATGCTCTACCCTAGGTGGAGAGAAACACTCTATGTAGAATATAAGTTAACAGAACTCAAATTACATCCATTGTTTTAGAAAATTATTTTCAAAATTATAATCCATACTAAGTGTAAAACATGTTATTAAACATTGCTAGCATGTCTGCAATAGAACCAATAAACAACTGGTTAACGAAAGTAAAATCTTAGGTGATTTCCAATGGGATTCTACAATATTATGAGGAAGCATGATTTAGTTACAAAGAATCAAACAACTGAGTTTCTATTTTTCAACTAAAAATAAAAATGAAAAATAGATGACTGGTAGAGTAAGACCCATGATAATTCTGTTTGAAATTGGTAGCATTCAGGACTTTCATTCTAAAGCCCGTCATCTTGGATCCTATTTTCAAGGAATTCAATATGATGTTAAAAGACATGTCATAACTTGGATTTCAGACTTTAGTGCTTCAGAAATATGTTTATGTACCTCATAATCTAATTATAGCTACCTTAAGACAGATAAGGCAAATGGTAGCAATACACTGGAAATATAATTGAAAAATGCAATGGTCCAGAAGCACTTGCGGGGATGATGTCGCTGAAAAGCTGCTCAAAGCCTCAGAGTTTGAAGTTAAATTTTTGATGTTGTCACTCTCAATCTATTGAATAGCTGACAGACAATCAAACCCGTCTGGCTGGCTGGCAGCTCATTTTGCTGGCAGGTGGCAAACAATTAGACACACCAATTTGTGCCTCCTGATGACATTAAAGCATGAAACTAAGTTGTATGCAGGGCGTAGTGATTTGTGTGAAAGCATTTCAAAAATAATACTCTTTGCCGTGGCAACTCATTTCAGACTGCCACCTCCCATTACGGCTTTGAGTAGTGAAGACGACAGACTTGAGTTACGTGCAGTGCAAGGCCGCTTCTGTTCAATCCGTCATCAGCGCCCCCTGAGACCTCAATACCCTCCTTTCATCAATATCACCTCATCATTTACATTTGATAGTACTTGAGCTACTGCATATATTAACTACTCTGGAGACCCTTTTCCTAAAAAGAATTGAAATATGCTTTGTGCTCTTCCATTTCAATTCTACTTATGCAATTTAGAATGATTACACTCCCATTGCATTTTGCATAAATGCTACCAGAAGAAATGAAAAGTTCTATTTTTTTAAAGTGATGCTCTCAAAAGTACAATACATTTTAAAGAGCTAAGAATATTAGCACTCAGGTGATTGCTTTGTTAAGTTTTAATAAAAAAAGTCATTCTAACAATATCTAATTATAACAAAAATATTTTACTTAACTCAATTCCATTGAATTCTCTTAAACAAAACATAATAATTCTCAGCATTTACGCATTTGTATTTTAACAAAATTTAAAGATATAATTTAAAATTAAATGGAACACAAAATTTTTAATGACCCTACATTAAGTTATTTTTATACTTATTTATAGTTATAGATTGATAGATATACACAAGTATATATACTTACTTATATGTTTATACAAACTCATAAACACACATACACATATATCCTGGAAAAATAAATCAAACATGTGAAATAGAAGACATAAATATGACATGGAATAAGGAACATCCAAGCAACATTCACTGTATAAGTAAACATCTGAATATAATATTTACAAGAACTATTAAAAAGAAAGAAAAATATTTTCCTACATCTTATTGCCCGACTTTTTTTTTTACTTTTTTAAAACTTTTCACACAACATTTTATCTTATATGACAATTATTTGCNTTTTTTTTTACTTTTTTAAAACTTTTCACACAACATTTTATCTTATATGACAATTATTTGCAAACATGTTATCTCCTTACTACTCTATAAGCTCACAGAAGACAAAATTTATTTTAATCAACTTTATATCCCACAAGATAACTAGTGCCATTGAGATTTTCACAACAAATTTTCAAGATAACTGTAAAACACTAGGTAAAATGTTTATAGGCAAAGTTAAAATTTTATTTGTGTTTGAAAATTTATCCTGACTGAAATGGCTTTACTGACACACCTCTACCCCTGAATTCTAAAAAATTACTATCTCTAGTTAGAACAAAGCAGTTTAGGTATTTTAGAGAGAGCAATATGGAATAAATATTAGGTTTGACTATATATTTATTTTGACATTCTAATGTAAGAAACATTTAATTCCCTAACTTTTTCTTGTCTATCTAAAGCAAAAAACACTGCTTATCAATCACCTCACACATATTTGTACATGTGAATAAATTTTTTTGGTATGAAAAAGTGTTTTGAACATCAACAACAATGATAAAATGCAGATGGTAAACCCACACATTCTTTAGTGTATACCTTAACATGTAAAAAAAATTGGTATATGCATCAATCCCAATGATTAAAGTTTAGTAATACTGTTAGTAATTAATGATTATCTAAAACATTTTTCTGGGCCGAGCCCGTGGCGCACTGGCTGAGTGCTGTGCGGCCGGTTTCAAAAAGGACAAAAAATATAAAATAAAATAAAATAAAACATTTTTCTAATGCTACACATGTTCTTAAATAGCAGGATATATTACATACACAGATTCTTTGTTTCTAAAATATTTAATTCTGCTCTTCTGAACTATAAGTTTTATTACATGAATCAGTTGTTCCTAAAAAATTCCTTGTATAATTTAGCATTTGAATGTTGATATATGGGTCATGTTATATATAGTTTAGATACCTAAAATGACAAAAAGTCTTTCAACAATATTTGCTTTCAAATATATGCCTTCTAATTTGGCTTTTACGTTATACTGAAAATCCCATAAAAAAAATGATCACAATTTTTTTCCATATACTTCTATTTAAAACTCAAATTTGAATTTATTACTTAAAGTAAGCTATGTAATCTCCAAAAATTATTATAATACTTGGCAATATTATAATGGAATTTCAGATCCAGAATAGACCTTGGAGAGATCTAGCCTATCTCCTCCCCCATTTTATACATGAAACAACTAAGCCCAAAAAGAAAAACGTACACTACCTCAAGGTACTGCAGTCCCTCAATGATGGATTATAACCAGAATCTGGGTTTCCCTATTTCCAATTCAATGTGCTATACACCATATCATACTGAAACCCCTTTTTGAGACAGATAAATAAAATGACTTACAAGATCAATCAGGTTGGTCTGTCACTTCAATAAGCTTTGTAGTAAGAATACACATGAATAAAGTTTTCAAGTCCCTTCTAATATTTTTAAAGTAACAGAATCTAATTTTCCTTCTACGTATAGGGCACTGTGAATAATAAGTTCGCTACCTACCTGTCAAAGGAATGAAACTGCATAGGAAGAATAGCTTGTGTTTCTCTCTTCAATGTTGGATCTGGATACGGGATAGGTTCAGGGCCACATTCTGCAATTTCAACTGGGGCAGCCACAAGACTTTTCAATATTTCCTTGACATTGATTCCTTTGGTTTGACTAATGCTAGATATGGATGGTGCAGGCTTCAACATTTCAGTGGGATTTTCAGTTAAACTCTCCTGTGATTTCTTCACTTCAGATGACAAGGTAGATAAGAGTTCACTCATGGCATCAGGGCCTGTATTAGCCTCTAATTCTGCTCCATTCAGGATGCTAGCCACTTGTTCCTCTCCAATTCCTGAATCTGTATGAGGAATTGAACTTTCTACCTGAATATCTTCACCAGGAGTTGGTGTTTCTTTTTCCTTTATAGTATCTGGAAATGCAGCAGGTGTTTCTGTAACGAAAGAAACTGATTTAGAAAAAAAGGTTCACAAATGATCCTGAATTAGTAATAAAATGTTCTCACACATTAGAAAAAAATAAAACTTATAAGAAACAAAAAATTTGCTAAAGAGTTGTGAATAACACAAGTCAGTTAAAATATCATCCAATACACCTGTCATTTTGTTCAGTAAGCATCAAAATAACCCTGCTTCTTTCATAAATTATTGTCATTTAAAAACTGATACCTTTAAAATCATCAGGAAGTAGTTCTCATAACAATTTCTTAAAGCAGCTTTATAAATAATTATTATATGAAGTTTCCTTTTTATCCTCTCATTGTTAGCTACCAAACAATCATGCAAGAGAAATTCTTACACTTCTCTATTACTTTCCTTTAAATATAAAGTCATTTTAATACCTTCGGTCCTTCAACCACTAATAGCGAAGTGTCTGAAAAATTTAAGCTAAAGATTTTTTTTTTAATTTATTAGCATATTCATTATTACATATCATACTTATTCTTTATGCCCCTTAACCAATCTTTCCCCTTCCTCCTCCCTCTCCCCCTAACGATATTGTTTTAACATTATGTATATAATACATAAAATTCTGAAGAATTTGCAAAATGCGAAGTGCATCAAATTATTTGTACAAAATCTTATAGTAACAGAATAATGCTCCTAAAGAATGTAGCCTATATGTGCCTTTAAGAAAAATTATTTTGAAATTCTCATGCTCATTCTTTGTGAATATAAATTTAAACTGGTGAAAAATGAATCAGAAACATATATATGTGTATATATCCAGATGGATAAGATATACACATATATTACCAATTAAAATAAATAAATCTTAAAAATGTTAAATTCCTATCAAATTTCATTATACAAAGGTTAATACAATGAAGTTCTCCGTATAATAAAATGTTATGCAATTCTAAATCATGACCTTGAAAAATGTATCCAATCTAAGTATCATGGGGATAATAATAGTCCTTAACTTAAAGTCATTCTGAGGAGGAAAATAAGATACTATTAAGATATGTGTAAATTATTTGCAATTCTCACGTAAAATAGATGCTCAGTAAATGTTACTTATTTGTATTATTTTAATTTGTATTTAAGTGTATCCTTTTAAAACCAGAAGGGCAGACTAAGTTATTTCTAAGATCTCTTCAAAATTTCAACATCTGTAAGTTCTATAAAACTTTCCTTAGATTTTGCTGTTGTTTGCTTCTTTGTTTTGAAAGGTTATGAGGAAATCAGGAGACTGCCTAACAGTGGAAAAGGCCACCTTGATGTCAGCAGGACATGTCGCAAAGCCTTTTGTAAAATCTCTGGTGAAAACACAGAGAAATGCTGTTTTGATGATGCTATTGTTGGGTGGGATAATAATTTGCTAAAACTTTTGTATATACAAACTGAAAGATTAAAGATAATGTGAAGGAATCTCTTTAGTTACAGGCTCAATTCTTGGCTCTCTCTATGACAGTTTTGTTCATCTCTTAAATGTAGATTAAGGGTATAATATTCAAATTTACTGAGGATGTTAGTTTATTAATTTTTCCAGATTACTTTCAAAATAATTTTGCCAAGTTTCAAAAAAATATTTTCTTTCTTCTGATTTCCCCTTGCTTTTAATTCAAATTACATTAAATCTATATATCAATTTAGAAATAAATAACATCTTCATATTATTCAATTTTTCCAATATTCAATATTCATTTAAATTGACTAAAAATATACATCTCTCACAGTGCAATATTATATTGTAGTTTTCCTAATATTCATTAAATAGGTTTTAGTTTTGCTTGTTTGTTTATTTGTTAGTTTGATCAAGGATGATAGACTTGAAAGAAGAAAAAAATTACCTGTGGAATGAGATAATAATACTCAACACTGGATGACCAACATGAAAAATAGGGCAGTTGTATTCCTTATTGTTTCCAAGATTAAAAATTAAAATAACTGCATGAAACTTTTGAGAAGACAGTCTCAATAATACTAGAGAAGGAAATAGGTAAGAAGTAAGTAAAGATAACAGTTTGGCATTTTTATAAAACCTTGTAAGAGAAGATGGCGACCTAATCTAGAATAACATCAGAAATATGGAGGGAAAAGAATCAAGATGTTTCTGGAAATCTAGCTAAAAAAATGGTGATATGTCACTATCTGGGAAAGGAAGAAAGAGAGGAGATTTATTCAAGAGAATAACGAATTAAATTTTCAATCAGTTGCAGAATGTCTGGGAAAAAAAAAATGGTGATATGTCACTATCTGGGAAAGGAAGAAAAAGAGGAGATTTATTCAAGAGAATAACGAATTAAATTTTCAATCAGTTGCAGAATGTCTGGGATATTTTTATCTGTAGGTCAAAAGAAGAAGAGTCATATATTTGGGGATCATTCAAACTGAGGTGATAGTCAAAATTGTGGAAGTTGAAATAATCTATAAATATAGAATGGAAATATTAAAAATGGCTGAGGCAGTGATTTCCACTATTAGAGACACTACTTAAGTTATTTTAACACACCTTTGCATCTATAGGTTGTATATTTTTGGAGAGAAAACAATTGCAGCAAAATATCAGGCAAGAATTAAATAGCAAGAGTGACATTTCAATGACAATAAAGACAGAGAATGTAAATGAAGAAACAAAATAAGAACTCTAGCAACAACAACAACAAGAACAAAATACAGTGTCATGGTTACTAAAATGGGCTAACTCCTCTTACAGAGTTTAATTATCAAAAGGCATAGTCAAGCCTAGCACTTACTCTTAATTTAGCTGATTAATAGATTTTGTCTAGCATTTGGCTTTACACTACAACAATGTCTAAGTATCTTTACTTATGGTGTATTTCACATTAAGGGCTACATAAATACTTTAAAGTTTTCAAATTATATTAGACTGAAATACAGTATTTTACTAGCAAACAAAATATCAAGAAAAATAAAATCTTTGATTTGGTATTCACAAGCTACCACATCTAAAGAATTTTGCCATCAACTATAAAATATTTTGCTTTTCTGCTCAACTCTCTTAGGGCATCAAAATCTGTAACTTACTGAGTGCATACTTGGAACTACAATACAAATGTTGACCTTTTGATTATAAAACACAATTAAACATTTTTAAAAATTAAATACTAGAATATTTCCAAATAGCTCATTATTTACACAGTACTAAAAAGAAATCTTAATTCTACTTAAACTGAGAAAAGAATGATTTCAAAAAGGAAGCACTAATTTTGATATTTCAATCAGAATTCAATTCACATAAATGTTTTGTAAAGCATACCCTGTGATCATGTTACATAGAAATTAAATAAATGCCAATGGAAAATTTTATAACAGCAATTGTAAATAAAAAACAGACCAGTAATTAGTAAATCCACCTTAATTTCTCATTATGCATTAACATCTTTCATAGAACATACTCTCAGTTGATACCATTAACTTCAGCTTAGATAACTGTGCGTCCAAAATACTTCTTTGTGAAACTAAAGTACTTTGAGTATTTAAGCCAGTGACTTTAGTAGGAAGTTAGTTATGAACGGCCAAGAAAGTATAAATAATTGCATCTGTGCAGGTTATATTAATGACAGTAGGCTTGTATGTTTTCAATAGTTCTCCTCAGTTTCTGTAGCAACAGACCATGGCAGTACACAAAGCAGAAAAATCACTAGCCTGAGTGATCTTAACCTTGTCAGAAACAGGCAGTTGGATGCCAGATGCCTCTTTTTCTTACTGTTTTTCATTCAATCTAATGAGTTCATCTAATACATTTTGGGAGAATTATGGGGTTAAGTTCAGCAAATGACATGAAGTCTACATAGTGACCTCATTTATTACATTCCTTCCTCCAAAAATCCTGTTTAACAGTGATTTATGAACTGTTTCAATATGTTTTACATATTAAATTACTGAAATTGCTATTTTCCAAACTCTCTTAATAAGGAATAACATGAAAGCTTCTTGTTAGTATAGCACTAAAAAATATATTAAGTATTTGCTCTTCAAATAGAAACATTAAGCAAACTAAATCACATAAAAAGCTGTATAGAATTACCTTGTATATTTTGTTTCTAGCAAATCCATAAATGAAAATTTAAGTCAAATAAAAATTAACAACTCCAAAGATGGAAAAAACTATGTGTAAAATATTTTAAATTATTATTAAAGTACATTTGTATACCAAAGAAGATTGCAATGCACTGAGTAATTCTCTGAAATTATTTACATATGGTTATTTTTTTGTTTGGTACATTAAATGTGTGAAAAGACTATAACTTCAGGAATTCAATATCATTACTAAAAGATATAGCCATAATAGACAAAATGATAATTGAGAAGATAATTAAGAGCCAAGAAAATCTTCCAGTTGATGTTCTGACTATGCTGTGTCTAGAAGTGAGTTTAAGTTTATCCTACCTGGAGTGCATTCAGTGCTTTGCATGTGCATATTAATGATTTTCATCAAATCTGGGGAACTTCCAGGACAATATTTATTCACATATTCTTTCTGCACCTTTCTCTCTCCTCTCCTCTGGACTCTCCTGGACATATACTGGATTCCCAGTATATGTATGATGGTTCACTCAATAGTGTCTTACAGGTCTGTGAGGCTCTGTTCACTTTTCTTTGTTCTCTTCTTGGTCTAGTTCTCAGACTAGGATAATCATAATTAACCCATCTTCAAATATGCTGATTCTTCTGCCAACTCAGATCTTTTGTTGAACTCCTCTAGTGAATTTTTCATTTGTTAGCGTAATTTTCTCTTTTTTTTTTCTCAGACTAGGATAATCATAATTAACCCATCTTCAAATATGCTGATTCTTCTGCCAACTCAAATCTTTTGTTGAACTCCTCTAGTGAATTTTTCATTTGTTAGCGTAATTTTCTCTTTTTTTTTTTTTTGTCTTTTTTTGTCTTTTTTCATGACCGGCAACGGATCGCAGCCCTCAGTGTCGCGCCTGTACCGGACCGGGACCGGCAACGGGATCGCAAC